GCTGTTGGTGTCTCTTAAGCATTACTTAAAGCCACAAACCGTCTCCAGCCCCTGCTCACGTCTCCCCGGCCATGTTCCCCAGACCTGCCATTTCCCATCCGCCCACCAGATGTCTCCGGACTCTCTTCTTGTCCTCGTATTCATCTGCTCACCTGTTTCCCCGTCTTCAATCACCTGAGTTTCCCTCCCCACTCACACGCCACTTCCCGTTTATCTCCTATGTGCCTTTAGTTTAGTTACATGTCGTCTGTACCTGCCTGTACACCTGTCTAGCTGCTCGTCCACCCGTCTGCCTGTAAGCCACACTTCCTCCATTACAGCATCTTCACTGCATCAGCCTTTCTGTGTGTGTGTGTGTGTGTGTGTGTGCTGGTCTCACACACACACACACACGCAGACTTCTTTGCTGCACCTCGAGCACACATACATGCACACACTGCAGAGACGCGTTATCATGCCTCAGCAAACACAGCAGCAGACTGCAGTACAGTTTCACCTCCCTCGTGCTGCTACAGGAGGACGCAGTAAACTACATGTATAATCGGGTACATCTGGATGATCTCACACTCAAAGTCAATGTAAGTTTAACATCAACCGCAGTGACACCCAATACGACACATTATATAAACGCAGGACAAGTATTAGTAGAACCACAGTGTGGAAACAGTTTGTATATGTAGTAAAACATTAGTTGTTTTTTTGTTTTTGTTTTTTAAAGATATTCAAAAACTGTGAAATTCACACATTATATAATTTATATAGTGAATGTAAAACAAAACATATTCACATTCATACACATCAAATGTACTATGTCTTCAAACAGGAAAAATAACAAGAAAAAATGATTTTAAACTGATATTAATCTGGTATATTTTTTATATACAATAATTATATCTAGCAAATGATGGTATTATAATGGTAGTATAAAAAAACAGTAAATGCATTAATCCAGAGACCATTTTTAGTTTCCTAAGTAAACACCCGATACTCAACTGAAAAAAAAACAAAAAAACAAAATTGAATTACACTTAATTTTGCCCTGAGTGTTGTCTGCAGGAATTCCTTTCAGGCTGTATGAAGCCCCAACAACCTTTATGTCGCCTGACAAGCAAACTCAGGGCAAGAAAATCTGCAAAGCCCTCGCTGCAGCTCAGTGAGGTTGTTGTTTTTGAGCACACAGTAACTGAAGGGGACTTTGGTAAGAAAACCAACGTGAAATATAGAAAGTGAGGGGAAAAATGGGTAAGCCCCACTCCAGTCCAGAGGGTGGTGGTGGTGGTGATGATGCACCTGCAGCTGTTTGTTAACCACCAAAAACAACAGAAGAAGAAGAATCATTATGTCATCTCTTCACTGACACAGGAGTCAGGTTTATTACAGCCCTTCGTCACAGCTGCAGCCGCGAATTACTACAAAGCTTCGCCTTTAATAAAAACAGAAATGAAAAGAAAAGTGCAGCACGTGCAGCTAGAGAAAATAAAGAACAGTGGGAGCATGGGAAGGAGAGAAAACAAACACAAGAGGAAGAGACAGAGAACAAAGAAAAGAGAGGGAGAGAGAGAGAGAGAGAGAGAGATTAGAGGACACTCTCTTGTCTCTACAGATCTCATTGATTGGTAGTGATTCTGAAATGTACCCTGACCATCCAACTAGATATGTCAATATGTCAGTCTGCAAAGCCAATATGTCAGAAATATTTTCTATAACTGTAGAACGTACTTTACCTTCGGTGAGAACCCAAAGGTCATCTCTACAAGCAGCTTATTACGACCCATAGTTGTGTTTCATTGTGAGGAAACCTCTAGCAGTGGTAGTAATTACAACAGGAGCAAAGGAGGAAGAGGAGGAGGAGGAGGAGGAGGAGGAGGAGGAAGAGGAGGGTTGAGGTGGATGCACGGCAAAACACAGGACTTTTCCCACAGCAGACCATTTTTCATTTCAGGTGTGAAACCAATTCCACGTCAACGTCGCTGTGTTCATACACGACCTTTTATCCACCGCACTTTTATTATTGTAACCATGACAACATTTATTCGCTGTTGCGTTATTCACGTGGCCATGTCATCCACAACATTCAGCTAAAATGCTTTCAGCAATCAGCTCAACAGTAATCTATTTCTATTTCTCCAAACTAAGCTGCGTTGACATTATTCAGTCGATAAAATATCACAAAACGATGTCCACTGCCAATCATCAGCTCCCACAGCCTGACACGATGTTTATAAATCACTTGGTTTTTTGTTTTTAAACTCAACTCAAAGTTGAATATTTAATTTAACGTTCAACTAAAAAGATCACCTGATCGATTAATCAACCAAGGCAATTAAACCAAAGGCAAACATGTTGCTTCAATGGAAAGATCTTTAAGAATCACTCTGAGGTGGACGTCTTTCATTTATGACACAGTGACAGTTTCAGTCTACAGCACAGGCAGAAGAGCTTGATGCTGATGGATGACAGACATGACAAGTTGCAACATACAACAAACTTCACTCACAATGTCCAACAGCTTTTTCCACGACCTCAGTATCCAATCAGGGAAAAAGTAACGTTTCGTTCACCCTGTTGGAAAAGGAGATCGGACTCAAGAGCGAATGCTTCAGTGGCCTGACCTTTGGCCCCCTGGTTAAAATCTCATCGCACGGAGTCAGTGGTATAATGTGTGTGTTTTTACTGAGGAGCAGTGATATGAAAACATGTGAGAAACCCTGTGGTAAAACATCTGCTGTCAGCACAGTCTGCTGCGCAGGATCAACACGAACACTCACACCACATACAGAACGTAGCCCACAGGCCTATACAGTCACCAGGCTGTAGCTCAGACACACACACACACAGCTGGAGTATGTGTGCCTGCTTTTGATGGTCATTATCATACCAGCTGTGCATTGGCATGGCAACAACGCAAAATGATACGACAGGCTAATGGTTTATCATAAAGGATTAAAAATACACACACGCGATTGAGCGTGATGCGCCGTCTCTGTTTAGCGTCACACATCTCGAAACCAATCAACGAGATCTCATCAATCTGTGGATCTACGCCGCTCTCTGTTCTCCATCTACAACCTTTATACCAACTCGTTAGGAGTTATGAGCTTGTTGTGTCATGTCTATGAACATTACACAGCGAAGGTTTGATTTGTCACTTGTTTTGTATTTGTTATCATCATGGGAGGAGATACCAACAGCTGTGTGATATAAACTCAGCGTCATATAGACGTGGCACAATAATCATCTCTATAGAAATTTATGAGGAAGGAGCAAGAAGAAAAATGGACAAATCAACAAAGATGTAGAGAAATAAAGACAACGAGCCTGAGAGATAAAGACAAGGGAAGTCCTGCAACGAATTAAAGTAGACTTGATCTTCAAAGCACACAAACACACACACACACACACACACACACTCCTAGGAGGATCCATGACGCCCCTGGCAGATATTACTTGCAGTGATGCCGACAAAAAGAGGAAGTCCAGGATCATTATTATCGTTGACTGTTATTGATACTGAAATCACATGAGTCTCTTAATTAATACTTTCTGAATTTAACCACAGGCCTTTAATGTTTCAGTGTGCCTTCACTGTTCAAAACAACATTAATTATTAACTGATCATGTCTCTGTAACAACCAGAGGAAATGCTAATTAAGGCAGCATATGTTCAATTTAAAATCATTTAGCATCATCATTTCATTCATCAGTCTTTACGTGTCTAAACAAGCTGTTACGTTTATTAATAGGTGACTTATTTCGGTTGCTATGACGACAACAGTCTGAAGGAAACGTGACCAGTTGTTTCTCAAACTGCAAAATAAAATTGAGGAGTAGTTCCTGATTCTGATCACATGATGTCAGGTAGACAGGTAGCTAGCAGTTAGCTCAGTAGCCGTTGAGCGTAAATGACCAACAGAAGGTGGAACAGTAGTTCATCCTGTCAGTCAGAGGCTAACAGAGGCTAACAGAAGCTAACAGAGGCTAACAGAAGCTAACAGAGGCTAACAGAGGCTACAGAAGCTAACAGAGGCTGCAGGTCAGATATCAGAACTTTTAAAGCTTGTTACATTTTCATATTTGACAACAAGGGGGAAACTGTAAAAACTAGAATGAAAAATCTCATATTTTTAACAGAAAACATGATTTCTAAGAGCGAACGTTGTGGACGTTAGTAAGACTGGCTGGTTTGTCAATAAGAACTCCTGACAGGAAGTTGACAACGAGCAGCAGCATCATTTTATTCTTTTAAAGAAACAAGTCAGACTTATTAGCTTGTTTAAAATATCGTTCACCTTCTCAGTACGAGTAAAAAAAAAAACTATTTTCAGGCAAAAGAAATTAGACTTTTGGAACCAAACACAAAGTTTATGGGAAATGTGAAGAAACACTGTGTGTATAAACTGAGTCATCTTCAAAACACTTACACTTGATTTGAGTAATTTTGTTTTGGCTTCCTGTAGCACGTTTTTCATTTGCAGCATGTTGTATCCGTTTCGTATTTTCGAATGTGTTTTTGAATCTGCAGCTCGTTTCCCTAATTGGAAGTGTTTTGGACCGCTGCAGCGCGTTGGCCCTTGTTGGCCACCGTTTATTTTGGAAAATGGATGCAGCCTCCTCTCGTCAGACGGAGTAAAACTGCAGCGACCGCCCTCTCACACAAAGACAGAAAAAACTCTTTCTTGATCATGTCTGATTATTGCAGGCACTGGTTTCACACCGACACTACAGCTGACTTCCTCCTTCGTTCTGCCACACTCAACTCTGCGCCTGACCCCGTTCACTGGACTGAACATTTGGCAGCTGCATTCAGAAACTTGAGGGACAGATTCGACTTTCTTTCGGGACGGTTCGGCCATGAGACCGATTTTTCTACACGCCCGGAAGCCCTCTCAACTCTGACCTCCTCCTCCAGAGAAGAGAGCTTCCCTGCAGGGATCAACATCACATTCAAGAAACCATCACTCTGTATTCACGTCTCTGCAAAGACGCTCGTGGGGACGTACCGCTCTTGGTGTCCTTTCCATCCAGCAAGGGTCGATAGTCGCTCTTGGAGACCGTCTCTCCCACCTTGTCATCATAGCTCTCTTTCTCCAATGAGGATATTAAGTCCTTCTTCAGCAGGGCCTCAGCAGGGGCCCCACCTGGGACTCCACCTCCGCCTCCACCCAGAGCATCTCTCAGGCTCAGGTCCATAGTCCTGTTACTGCAGAGAGAAAGGAGAGACGGTGTGAGTACATTCATTATTCTTTGCTAGTTGCTGTTTTCTTCCTCTGCTTCACAGGCTCCCTGACATTTTCTCCAACATAAAACTGTACCTTCTTCCCTCCAGTGAACACAACATTCACGTGCGTGTGACTGACCACTTCACACCTTTTACAAGCCTGTCGGTTCAGGTGAGCAGTGGTGTGACATCCCATCTCACGCAAATTTTCAGACCACTTGAAGGTGCGGCCCGGTAATAAGTTATACTGTGTAATATGTTTTCTGCCCTCTGTATCTCTGTGTTCAATGTCTCACTCTTTCCCTTCAGTTCAGTGAGACATCCCAATACTTACAGCAATAATACTGACGTAAACACAAGTGCTTGTACTGTATTTTCTGTGATGATATAATATTATATATGATATTATATTATATAATGATAAAAAGTCATTTACATAATCATATTGGGTTTACAATTTACATTTGTTAAACGTTGTACTGTCAATGTAACTTAAAGAAATTGTTTAACTTTTCTGGCAACACATTTTATTTATTTATTTTCTTCACCACAGTTGGATGAGAAGATTGACATCACTCCCATGTCTGTGTGTTGCTGTAATCTGGAGGCGATTAGCCTAGCTTAGCATAAAGACTGGAAGCTCTCACCAAATGCCTCCGATGCCTGTTAGCTAAAGCAAGTGCAGCTTCAGTGCAAACACAATGTTCCATATGTTGTTCGGCAAAGACATAAGCATTTATTTTTCTTTTCTTATAGCAACACCCGTCAACACAACAGAAGGATGAGATAGCATCACGCCCCTTCAATGCTACCAGCTTCCTAAAAGCAATGATAGGTCGGCCTATCACAAGTGCTAATGGCAGCAAATCAACAGTCTCCATGGAAACAGGAGAATTTGGCCACTGTTAAATCTCTATCATTGCTGTAAATTTCTTTTTTTTTTTCTTTAACTAAGGAAACATTTTAAGAGATTCTGCACAATACCCTTAAGTAACTCCCTCAGCTAAGGAGAAATGAAACCTTAGTGTCATAGTTAAGTATGAGGAGTAGGTGTTTTGTGCAACCAGCCGCAGATATTTATCATGGGGCTGCTCTATAAACCTTATTTTACTAAGAAGAAAATCTATGTTCTTTTTCAAATGCTGCATGATGAACTGCAGATATAGATGAGATTTAAAAAAGCCATCAAATATCAATCAAAAAACCTGGATCCATTAGATTTGTAGTTTTTTTGTTTTAGTTTTTTTTATTTTTGCATTTCCTTAGTTGTTACTGTTGTTGTTTTTTTCATTATTTTGGTAGCAAAGACCAGGACATTTTATAATGTAAAATGGTGGACAAACAGTGTAATGGTGACATGGTGGCATTTCTGCAATGCCATGTCTTGTTATTTATTGACCAACATATATGTATTATATATAATATCTGCAATAATCTAAGATATATCTGCCTGGCCTATTAATCGGTAGCCTATAGTATAACAAAGCATTTGTTGTTGTAAGCATGCAGGAGCTAGCACACAGAATGTGATGCATTTTGCATTTAACCAGAGGAAGAACTGAGCACAGAAATCAAAGCCACAAAGCTCTGATACGAGAGAGAGTCGCACCAAATAAATCTGCTTCATCTTGACAGATTTTTAATCAGTTTGTGTTCAACTTGTAAAGTGCTTCAGTCACAGTTACACTTGATTACTCCCGCTGAAAGCCATGAACATACAGCATAGACGGTGTCCCCAACACGAAGACAGAATGACCCCTGAACAAACTTTTCTTTCTTTCTGTCCTCGGTTTCTGTTTATCCCTCCATCCACCCTCCCAGCAAACAAGCTGTCATTGTCTTGCCACTGTACCAAACACACACACACACACACGCACACACACACAAAGACAGACACACACACGTACACACAAAGACAGACATACACACACACGCACACACACACATACAATGCACTCAATAATTTAATCTTTTCAATAAAAAATGAACCAATCCTGAACAGGAGCTTCCTAACCTCCATTACCCTCTTAGCCTATTATTCTGAATATTTATCGCTCCACTGGAGAGGTTTCATAAGCTGCAGTGTTCAGCAGCCTGGACCTGCTGCTGTTTGTTTTCTCTCTCCCATTCTGCCAGCAATTACTCACTATAACATCTTCTTTGCCGTTTTCATTTCCAGTGTATATTATCTGTGCATCCTTGGCAAGTGATTTCTATTTTTACCTGTTGCTGAAAATTGTATGACCTTGAATTTAGATATTTGTGTATTCTGGCTTGATTTTAGCCCATTATTAAGTTAGTGCATTGTATTATCTAAAAGCTGCACTAATAATTTTGTTTCATATTTAACGATGTTTAAAATCTAAAAGCCATAACAACTCAATATGGTGATCACATGTCCGTTAATGCAGCCTTAAAGCAGATATGACGAAGTTCTCAAACACAGCTTCTATCAATATGTGAAACTTTAAGTCTGAACTTCAATTATAAATAAATAAACCCACACCGTCACATTGTTTGTTAAAACTGTGGGAATCTGTCTATATTTCTGACTTCACGTGGACTCAGTTTCCCACAATCCTCCACTTATCAACTTCCTGCTTTAACTCGCTCTCTCAAGATATGCTCTCATACACAGCTGCTTCTTTCTCTCTCTCTCACACACACACAAATTGGCAGATTAATCCATAATGAAAATAATCAAAATGTAATTGAAGTTGAAGTGCAATATCCAAATCGCAGGAGTTGCAATTTTTTTTTAATGAAGGTAAAATGTGTCACATTGTTGTGCATTGTTAGCACCATAAGACGCCCCGGCCTACAGATGTGAGGGAACATGTTTGTTTGGTGCGAGACCAACAAAAATCACATTGTCATCATTTTTGAAAGTTTTCAGTGAAAGTAAAACAATCTTTCCAACTGAAATCGAGCTGCTGCAAGAAGAACTGGTGCAGCGCTTTCACACAGAACACAACGTTAACATGATAAGTTTATAATGTCAATGACGCACAGAAACATTATGATGTAAATGGTGGTTAGTAAAAGGCTGTGTGTCTATCTGTGTGTGTGTGTGTGTGTGTGTGTGTGTGTGTGTGTGTGTGTGTGTCAGAGAGAGAGAGATGACGATGATGAAGATGAGGGGTTGTTGGGCACGACAGCTGTTGCACTGAGGGATTAAAAACTATCTCTGTACCCACAATCCCCTGCTCCAACATCCACCACCTCTCCCTCTCTGAAACCAACCGTCTGCTACGTAATCGTCTCACCCTCCAAAACACAGAGCTCTCACGCAACCACACACACACACACACACACACACACACACACACACACACACACACACACACACACACACACACACACACACTGCTTTTTTTTGTGCAACTTTACTACACCATTAAAGTCTGTAGAAATAATGCTTGTAATACAATTAAGCTGATATTTGGAGCTATCAATTTTTTTATTTGTACCTGTAATAAAATGAGCAGAAAACTTCACATTTTTTTTAAATTAAAAAAACAAAAACAAACTTAACACAGTCCATATCCTCCCACCACACAACAGAAAACTCCACAGTATGATGCACGTTAGCTCTACAGCCGCAGGTCAGTGCAGTTCAGTGATGAGTCACAGCAAAATATCTGCTGTATGTCTGTGCTAATGATGCTACAGCAGTGATTGGAGAGGTCAGTGACCCCGGGAACCTGCTCCCTCCTGCATTCATCTCGGTTCAAAACCATAAATCTCTGCTTGGTTCCCACAACATATATAAAACTGGTTTCTAGCTTATTTTGTCAAATAATCATAAAACATCTTGCTTTATATTGTGACACTTTATATGTTCGTGTCAGACAGATTTTAGGAGGGCTGTATTATGTAAAGTGGCTGTGACTCTTTTTCAGCTCAGTATAATCATGATAAATTAATGTGCGAGCAGCCTGGTGGCCTGACAGACAGAGAAGCACATCACTACTTCAGTTTCTCAGCAGTTCTGACTTCACATGAAGAACGGAGAGTGGCTAACACTGCAGCTTTCAGTTACACTGTCCAGCCCAGGGAAGGGTTCACACACAGTTCAAGAACTAGACAGACACCAAGACAAGACAACAGAGAAACTCTTGTCATCCTGCAGAAATCACTGAAAACCAAAGAAAAAGGAGACAATCACAGTGTATCTCATGTGGTAATAAATTTGGCTTGAGTGACCAGTCATGCTATCGTGAATGAAAGATGGTCGACATGCAGCAAGAGATAATAATTTGGCACTAAATCAGGTGTATTTCCAGAAGCATAAGACTTAAACTGAAGCTCCATTTGGCCAATGAAAACCAGTTTAAAGGAGCTATTTGTAAGTTTTGCTATTGCCACGTAGCTAATGTTAGCATTAACACCTGTTTACTTACGAGTTTAGAAGATATGTTGCGAGTTCAGCATCAAATTTCATTCCTTTAGACGCTGAGCGCTGTTTCCAGCTACGCCAATATTAGCTCTTGTTTTGTTGTCTTGTTCTTTTCTTCTACTGAAGTTAGCATGCTAACCAGCGAGCTCCGACCCAGTCGGCCTGTCCAGTCACTTTCCGATAGCCTACGAGTCACTGTAGGGTCCAGTCCACCCCGAAGACGTAGTGCCACTCAGAGAGCAAATCATAACCTCTTGTAAATGCAATGATGACTGAAGCTCTTGGAAAGACTGGTAAGTAAACAGCTGTTAATGCTAACGTAGCAAAACTTACAAATGGCAGGTTTTGCTTGACAATGTTGTGACAGAGTAAGTCCAAACTTTATGTTTCCATATAGGCCAAATATTTAATAGTATTTAATAGACAAGAGGTTATACTACGCCCTCTAAGCAGTGCTTCGTCTTCAGGGTGGACTGGAGGCTAAAGTTAGTCGCTATGGGAAAGTGACCAGATCGGCTGCGGCTAGCTAGTTAGTGTGCTAACTTCAGTTGAAGAAAAGACTTGACAGAGACAAGCGTTAACA